AAGACCAAAACAATATAATACAATACTATGCATAAATTTGGCAAAGTATTAGACAAGTTTGGGGGTGTATGCACCTCCATTGGCTCCAGCTCTGTCATTCTACATAACACTTGTCCTGTTCTAGTTAGCAGTATACGTCACAGCGTCACACAGGCCACACATGGGAATGATTGTATATAAAGTTTAAACATGAATAAGTTTAAAAAGAGACACCTGTTTGATGTTTTTAACTTCATGCGAGTCAACTATGATTATTTAAAAATCTGACTCATCAAAATGTCTGGGTGAGCTCTTTCATTTTCTTTCTAAAATGTTAGAAACAAWTACTAATAAGATCTCTGATATAAACCCCTATCGATCATAAGCAGTTGAAGTTCATAACTCTTCAATCAAATATTAATAAAGAGAATGACAATTTTTAGTTTGATTCAGCAGATGTGCTGGCCTTTTAGAATTAAATACAGACTGTTAGAGTGACAAGCTTTCATTATTGTATAAGTAACTARATTTGCATAGCTTTACATGGATTAAGTGTGTTTACTCAAAACATGCCTCCAGATATACTATGCACATTCCTTAAACCAGATTGTAAAAAAATCCTGCTTATTAGTTTTCAAAGAAAACAATGTAATTAGAGTATTGCATAGTTTTGTAATTTATGGCATTTTGAAACCTTGTCAATGCTGAGCTATTTCTATCACAGCTTTCTTTATACACTGAATTCTTTTTATCATTCTCAGTATTTAAATGCATTTCTTCCAAATAAAACTATTGTTTGTCTATTATATTTATAACATAGTTACTCTTACATAGTTTGATAACATTACTTTACAAAATTTTGTTTTTTATAACATGAGCATTAAAGGAAATKACATAATTTAGCACCTACTGTGCAGCATTGTTTCACAGATAAATGTGTGGGAGTTTCTTTCTAAATAAATGTAAAAACCTCCAGGACATTCAAGTGCTTTACAAGCAAAATAATCTGACTTTAAGGACTGTTTTTAAGACTTTGTCTGATGTTTTGGGACCTTTTCAGCTACAGCCAYTACAATAACAGTCTTGAGATYTCAACAAAAACTTAAAACAATTGTAGATTACAAACATTCATGGAGTATCCCAGAAGTTTTTGCAATTTTCCAGATTTTCAATTGTTTTTTAAAGTGCCCTTGAAAACAAAGTCTTCAATTCTGGACTTTAAGTAGTAGTATAAACCCTGTGYGCACACAGCTAACTAATATTAATTTGTATGTTCAATTTCTGTTGCAAGGCAGTATTTTGGTATTCAGACCCCTTCCATAACATACTTCCACTAGAGCTCTAGTAGTGTCAACAATTTTATGAGGCATCCTGCATGCACTTATGAAATGTGAAACATCTACGTAGCAGTTTGAGCCATCCATTGTCCTTCACTGTGGAGGTTTGAAGTAAAATTTCTTGGTCAACATGCATACCTCAGAAGGCATTTGYTTATGTCCCTGACTGCTGAAATAGGCTGATACTCTGTTGTTGACTCTTATCATCATATCCATTATGTGTTCTTTGTCTGCATACTTCTGAAATACATCTACAATACTTCGAATAAACCATGATCCTTTCTCTGGGTTTCTGTAGGACTGGTAACCAGGAGACGATGCATAGCATATCAAAAAGTCGGCATCAGATGGCAAACCACTGTAATGCATTGGGACTGGCTCGCTATCGCTCTCTATTGGTGCAATATCTTGTTGGGATCCTCTACACGCYTGTATAAAGAATATTTTAGGCTTGTTTGCTAGGGAAGGACAAGGRCTTCGGCGAAACTTGCTGGTTAATGCCTCAATTTGAATTACCCCTTCATCAACTCCATATATCCCATCTGATGAACCATGGCTCAGGATTATGCATATAAAGCAATCATATTTACTGAAATCCTTTTCAGAAGTCTCTACAAGMAGTTCCTGAATTTGTGTACTGGTTARGTCTTGRACCACCTTCACAGGATGAAGACCGAAATCATCAAACATTGACTTTAAATTTTTWACATCTTGTTCTGAACCTTTGCGCTCCACATCAGACCTGAGGTGAAAAGTCTGGTTGTTGATTATCAGGACATAACCACTTTTGATGGTTTTGATGAAGTCAGAAGTCTCAGTGTCTATGTACTGTGTTTGGTTGCTTTCCTGGACACCAACTGAAAATGGATCCAAATGAAAGAAAGATAAGTCACTTAGTAAATCAATTTAAATTTAAAAAACTTTATTTTAACAGGGTTAATTAATTTCAGAGAAAAAATTAACACAAGGACAATACTGTCAGTGCAAAAAAAGTAGTAAAAAAATACTATAGGTYACTTATACTATTTCCTACATTTCTAAAGAATCAATCAACTTAATAGTTATGAGTAATGTTTATTTCACAGATTCAATGTTGTTAAATAGGGGAATGGTTGTTGGGTGTCTGCTCATAAATATTCATAAGGGCGATATCATTGATTAAAAATAAACAAATCTATATAAGAAGAAATTAACGCTATTATAAGATACTTTAAAGTTTTTAGCTTTCCATGTGCAAATGCTCAATTCCATCTCTAAGATGCACTTATGATAATCAACTTGTTGGGATTATTATTTTCACATCATTTTTAATGTAACAATAATTGTTCAAGAACTTTCAAGAATGATATAGGTGAAAACTACGTATTCAAAAAATTAATATATTATCCAATGAATATTGTTTCATGTGTATATATAGCTCTTCAGTTGTAATAAATTCAAAATTGCTTGAGAATGGCATCAGAGGATGTCGAAACGTCGCAAAAATGAATCTAGTTGCGTTTGTCTTTTTGATTAACTTTATTTCAAGATCTAAACTTATTAATATTAAAGAGGGATTATTTATTAGGAATTTACCAGTTTTGTAGGAAAGAACCCCTTGGTTTACAAAGAAAAGTGACATGGGAGTACCCCCTCATGAATATTGTTGGACCAAAAATAGTTTTTTCACTGACTGATATCATGGTGAAATTCAGTACATTGGAGATAAACTGTATAGAAAAAAATGACAAAACCTTGAAAATAARAATTTTTGCCTCTATCATTTTGTAGTGTCCAAACGTCGACGGTCTTCAGCAAAATATCAGRCTTTTTTCTTCTCAAGAGCTTGATAACTCCTTGGAAATCAGCGTCTACAGAATCATACTTAATTCAACTATCAGTTTAGACTCACCACTGACATGAGAAGTTTCTTGTGATGGAGTACTTGAGCTCGTTTCGACTATACACAAAACAAAGATAAAATTATCGATTTGCTACACTGACAGTCAAACTCTAAATGAAATATGGTGTTCTTCAACATGAAAATAATAAAGTGATTTCACTYAGAGCACAATACAAAATGTCATGCAAAACGTTATTCAAGATTCTAGTCTCAAGAAGAGATTATTCTATTCTGACAAAAACACAATGAAATGAGTACAATCGTGTTCAAAATGTACAAATTGAACATTTTTGATTCGATTGCGTACATATTCCGCCAATAGTTTCATTACCTGTCGTTTCTCCTCTCTTTTGATGTATTGTTAAGCTAGAGCTATCCCCTACAACTACAGTTCCACTACAGCCCTTGATATCAATGTTAAACTTGCTCGCCATAGCTGCCTTTAGAGTCTTTTAGAACAGTTAAGAGTCCAATGAAAAGAGTTTTGATTTCACTTCTGTTAGAATTCTAGTGCCAGTCTCTTTGTAGGTGTGTACAAACAGAGAGCACAGGAAACCCAAMTCAGGTTAGTTAGGCAGTTATCAGYTTCAATCAATCAGTTGAATCAATCAACGGTGAATCAATAATCAGTTAATCAATCATCAATTAATTAAACATCAGCAAGTCAATCAATCATSATCAGCTGTCAATCATAAACAACCATCAACCAATTAACAATACAATTCAATCAGTTATAGTCATTTTGCTCAATCATCAGAGAATCAAACAGTTATCATCAATCAATATATCATCAGACAGTCAATCAATGGCAAGTAATTCAAACAAAAGTTGATCATTAGCCAATCAAACATCAACAAAAACATCARTCATCAATAACTCTACCAATGACGTCAATGCTTTAGAAAGTGAAAGCTTAATGTCATTAATGAATTACAACTAACAGCTGAGCAGCAGAGTCTTCATTTGATAAAATCCTAAATACAGTCATTTTTGTGCTAAAGTATAACTTCATACATTCCAACAGCGTAGTTCTAATAATAGCTATAATGTCACATAGTTTGCTACAAAAATGT